AAAAAAGTGATGTTTACAGCGTTGGCGTGCTGTTATGGGAGATATCAAGTGGTAGACCACCTTTTTATGTTAAAGGTAAAGAATATGGCGTTAGTTTAGCTATAAACATTTTACAAGGACTCAGAGAAAGTGTCATTCCCGGTACTCCTGAATATTATGTAAACATTTATACAGGTAAATATATTATATAATTTAAACTTAAATAAATAATGATCATTAAATCGAATTTATTATATTATTTTAGAGTGCTGGGATGGCGAGCCAGAAAAGCGTCCGGCTATGAACAAAGTAGTTGATGCATTAAATGCAATTCTTACAAAAACTACCATATTAGAAAATGAACAAATAAATAAAGAATTAAACATTCAATTGTCTGAAAAACTTTTTCATTCATTACATGGAAAATTATCTCAATTGATTCAAAATTTTGATTTGAATCAGTTAAATATAATAGAAGCGTTAGAATCGAATGAAACAGATGGGGAATTATCTCAAAATTTAAATTTGAATCAGTTGAATGTAGTAGAAGCATTAGAATCGAATACTGAAACAAACGACGTCATTATTTACGATGATACTATTTATTGACTAGAGATTAAAGAAGTTAATAAGGATATATTATACACCTTAGGAGGATTACAAAGATTTAGAAAATTACAAGTACTTAACTGCAATTATACTAAAATAACCAGCCTACCAACTTTACCAAACTCCTTAATTAAACTCAGTTGTTATAATACTCAAATGACCAGCCTACAAATTTTATCCAGCTCCTTAACAGAACTCAATTGCGAATATACTCCAATAACCAGCCTACCAACTTTACCAAACTCCTTATCAATAATCATTTGCTATAAAACTCCAATAACCAGCCTACCAACTTTACCCAACTTCTTAACGGAACTCAGTTGCAGTAATACTCCAATAACCAGCCTACCAACTTTACCAAATCCTTTAAAAACCCTCTGGTGTCATAATACACAAATAACCAGCCTACCAACTTTACCCAACTACTTAACGGAACTCAGTTGCAGCAATACTCCAATAACCAGCCTACCAACTTTACCAAACTCTTTAGAAACCCTCTTGTGTTATGATACACAATAAATAGTTTGCCAAATTTACCTGATACCTTAACGTATATTGATCCAGAATCTTTGAAAAAAAAAACTAATGTGTTTAAGTCAATTAAAAATTTTATCAGTTTCAAATAATAACATATTAAAGCATTGTTATTTATGCTATTTAGCTAAACTTTTACAAAAATATTTTTTCATATAAAACATACGTTCAAAGAAAACATTTTGTAAATTAGAATCCTTAAATCTATTCGTGTAATATATGTGTTATTTCGATATATTTTTTTTCATGATATATCCACTCAATTTTTAATACCAATATAAAAAAAATTGCAACATTACATTGTTAATAAATAACTTTATAGTTTTCATAATTTGCTAATTTATTTTTAAAAATTTTTTAACTGACTGCTATATATTTTTGATTTATAAGAAATTTATATTTGTTTGTTCATTTCGATTCTGATTTTTTTATATATACATGTGATCTAAAAAGAAAAAAATAAAAACAATGGATAATAAGTATTATTTCACGATAAAACAACCTTTATTGCGTGACCTTAGTGGGTGGTTAAGAAAGCATCCTTTGGGAGTACAGTTGTTAGAATTTGATTTCAGTTAATAAATTAAAATTTAGCCAGAATTAGGATAATAAAATTAAGAAAAAATTAAAATTGTAATATTAAAAACAATTATCAGATTACATGATATAATTTCTTTAAATGACTAGTTATTTGTCGTTTAGTCATTTGAGGTCATTTAGGTCACTTGCCATCACTGGCCTCCCTAATCCTACCACAAATGTTGGATTGCAGACTTGTTGCTAGTCTTCATTTCGTCACTTGATTAAAAAAAAAACTTTGAAAAAATGTATAAAGGTTAACCCAATTTAGATTAAAATTGGCTAATCTGTGCGACTTTTAATTCTTTTGCACCAGACTGTAATAAAATAGATATCATAATTAAGTTTCGATCCATTTGACCATGAATAACTTAATACAGAAAAATTTTGGTCGATACGATATGTCATTCCTTTGTCTAAACGAATCTGTTTTGTGATAGCTTGCATTACAAGAAAATCTTAAATTGGCCATTGGATGATTTGGAAAGTCTTGAAATGAACAATGATATTGTCTATCAGTTACAGCACAACAGCATATTCAAATGTATTATGTTTATCTTATCTTATTATGAAAATTAGTCTACTATTGCTTTGTAAAAAAATATCCGTTAACGCAGCTTTTATATTCTTTTTTTATTTTTTAAAAAAAATATTGCTTCAATCTTAAGAAATATGCTGCCTTTTAAAAAGATATCTAGTTATTCAGCAAACCTATAGGTGATTTAATTTAGTCGAAATTAAAATATTGAATAAAATTAATTGTTAATATTATAAAGTTACCTTAAAAACTAATCTAATATAGTATATGGCACTTAGACAACAATGTTCGGTTATTTACTAATTCTAATGTTTTTATATCCGGTGGAATATTTATTCAATAAATTTCCTCGAAAGCATTATCTTAA